AGATGTTCAGTAAGAACATTTATAACTAAAGCAAAAAAAATATGGGCTTAAAGATGACTCCTAATGTAATCCTTCTTGTGTTTGAACACAACAACTAAAGTATATTTATCTTTAATTACTTGAATATAAGCAATATCAACACCTTTTTTTTTCTAAAACTCTGAAGTATTTCTATTGGAACCTTATCATAATTTTTTTTCTTAATCAACAGAAATCGTTTGTAGATCCTCCTTACTTTCTCTATACTTCTCCAATAAACCTCTCAATAAATGTATAGCTTCCATATTAGACTTGCCCGACATGAATCTAAACTAATTGAGAAATTTGTTAATCACATTGTAACCGATGTTCAATTACTCTCCCATAACTGTAACGTATGACACATTAACTTCATTCTTCTATAATTTGCACTCTTTTGAATCCCCTTTACTCTTAAAAAAAGTTAACTAATAGATTTTTTTCTCCACTCATCAAATTTTTTTTTTTTGTTTTTAAAATACATCAAAAAATTTAGTAAGCCAAAAAATTCTTGGATCTTCTAAATATTTTTATACTTCTATTAAAATATCATCAGATCCTACTAGTTTTAAAAATTTTCACTTTAAAGCTTCCTTAACTTTTGTCTTACTAATACAACGGTAGAAATAAAAATTTTAATTATTATTTATGATATTAAGATCACTAAGGCTAATCATATTTTTATAATCTTCATTGAAAAGTTTATTAAAATTCCCCAACATCTTATATTGAAGATCCTCTTTCTTCAAAGAAAAACACTATTTAATTTCATCCTTTAAAATTCCCCAACATCTTATATTGAAGATCCTCTTCAAAGAAAAACACTATTTAATTTCATCCTTATACACTTGAACTAAAACTTTATTTTCTTATCTCATTGTTTGACTAATTTATATATATATCTTTCATCCTCTTCAATATCTAGCATATCATAAATATAATTAAAAATAAAATTTTTAGCATAAATAATTATTTTCTTTGACTCCCAACATATCACATTATATTTTTTCGAATCTTTTACATCTAAACCAATTTCAATAATAAATTTCTTATTTTTATTATTCTTGGACATCATTATTCCACCGCCAACTATTTTTATTCATAAGAATTTTTCTTTTTGATTCTTCAAGTATTTTTTGCAACTTAATAGTAATCATTATTTTATCTCACATAATATTAACTTCTTCAAAGACATCCTAAATTTTCATATATTAAAATTTACTGATATTTTATTATATTTTTCATCTTATAACCGTTCATTTAAAAAGTTTAAAACAATTAATCTATGTTATGCCCTAAAAATTTCACTATAAATAACATTACAATCTATACAATGCTGACGATCTTTTTCACTCATAATAAAATAATTAATTTGTGTTTTATTAGATTTATTCTTATAAATGACGATATGCTCGTCACTTTACATGCTAAAATGAATGCAATTGAAATAATATATAAAGAAATATTTTTATGCGCATGTTAATTCGAGTTTACCCATTTATTATAATACAAGGGGATTTTAATATATTCAGGCACATTAATAACTTTTCTTTCACCTCAAACCACAGTAAAAATTAGAATTATGCCTACTATGCCGTCGAGAGATCTATCAGCAAAAAGTGAGTACGTTTTCCCTCCAGAAAATAGTAGAATTTCTCTATACATAGTGCCAATAGAGTACGAATTAGCCAAGGGAGAATTAAGCCATAATTAGACCGTTGCTAAGAACTTATTAATATATAAAAATAAAAAATAAAAAATGCAAAATACCTACAAAGTTAATAATTTAGTTATTAAAAAGAAGTGATAAAAATATAGTTCTAAATATTACTAAAATTTTAATTATTAGGCAACATTAACAGCCAGAGATATTAATATGTTCAGCTTATCATATGTTTTTCCATGGCTTTATAGAAAAATTTAGCATTTATGTTACTTCTCCTTCATTGAGCTATTGTGAATTAGAATTGTAATTATATTAATGGGCTATTTTTTATAACTGACTATTGTTGATTATTTAAATAATTCAGGCAATTGAAAACTGCTATCCTTTCTAAGCATTATTTATGTGTGAAATATTAAACGGGCAAAGCTTTCTTTAATCAATACGACATAAAATTGAGATGTTCCTCGCAGGCTGTTGCATGCTTGAAAACCCGTTGCATAGAGATTAATAGTTTCATTTTAATTTGTATGAAGATCTTGGATACATCAAAATAAAATGAGATGAAGTTACTCAAATTCAGATGACACCATTTTTTACGAGTAAAAATTTAAGAAGAAGACAAAAATAGGTCCATACAAAAACTCACACTTCTCCACAACTAGAGAAGCAAGTATACAATTAAAAAAAGGATTCTCTTAATGTAGCAATAGAAGGTAGCGATATTAATGAAAGATCGTAGATGTTGGTCAACAATGTTAGCAAAGTGTGGCATCTGAGAACGAATGTTGAAAATGAAGGTATTGTAGGCAATGTTGAGAGTTGGGTGCCAGTTGCTGGAAGAGAAGCAAAGACTAGTGGCAGCTAAAGTTAGAAAACAATTAACTAAATCGTTCTCCTAAATTGGGAGACCTAACATGTAGATGTAAAATATCGACAATCAATGGATGTTGGAATATCGATAGCAGATAATAAAGGTAGACGAACATCAAACATCAAAGGATAGATGTCAGAAGTTGGTTGGTTGATGAAGAAGAGAGATTAATGTCAAGAGTAATACATCAATGAAATTAAGTCAACAAAGGAAGATCAAAATGGTTAAAAGACATCTGGTGGATCTGGGAGCACTAGCATGGTTATCTAAGGCCTCTACAAGTTTTCTAAAATCTAAAATTACATAGGCTGCATGAATGCTCCTAATATAAAATGTTCAAAATAAAAAAAATTGAGATATATTTATAGATCTCGATGGGGCCAATCTGATCTTTATTTACAATGATGCTAAAATATTCATAATTTTGTTAGAAACGGATGCACTAAATTGCACTCTCCACCTATTTAGAACTGTTTAAGCAATCAGACATCTTGGTTGGCTCAATCTTCACACCTGATCCACCACTGGGACAAGCGACCAACAACAGTGTCTCACTATTGATGACAATGATCAATGATGACAATGTGACAAACACTGATGATGGTGTCTTAAACTGGAGAATAGAAGTCACCACGAGCTTTCAACACACCAAGTGCAATTTACTTGACGGATCAACAATCCCACAATCAAATCATCCACAACAAAGTTTGAGGCTGTATTTTAATTGCATGATAAATTTTACTTTTCGATGAGATGACAGCTATCGTTTATAGTTTGTCAAGGAAATGTGTGCTTGATTTAGAATAATTTTGAGGTGTGAGGATCACAATTATGGTTCGCAAAAACAATGGTATTAGTGCTCACACAAGGAGACAATGGATCCCACAACCCATTCTTCCACGCACCTATCCATGCCAACCTATGTCATCATCAGGTCATGATCTAATCACCTCAAATTTCCTAGTGTTTATACATGCCTCCAAAATTCCTTCTCCAAGAATGGGGGATAGCAAAAGTTTTCATTTAAGATATGAACATATTTAGAAGAGAATGAACCCTCCTTCATATTTCTTGTTTTTCTTCCTCTTTCCTTTGTCGGTGTCAATCCACAAGAAATGTGAACATTTGTTTCCCCTTGTAAATTTTGGATTCCTTATAATGAATTCGACACCTCACTACACTATCGGCCTAAGCTACAAAGCCAAACGACATTCATCTTGGCCATCATATGTTATTCACCTATTCTTACTGGTAATCTTTTAGCATTAACAGGAACATTTTCATGAAGTTGAACTTTTATGGGAACCTCTCACAAAGGCACCTCATCCTGCTCTATTCCTAGGCAAGCCTAGTGTCGCCATTGACAATATAATCTGACCTTGCTTACAGGAAAGCTTTGCCAGAACCCTAATAAAATCCACATAGGTTCCATTTGTAGCACAGATCTTTTCTTTCATTCAGCTAAAGGCAACCCCTTACCTCTCCCAATTTCATCCTTCCCACCCATCCATAGCAAAGCTAAGATTAAATCCCAATTTCCTTCCTTCCAATGGCCCTTCCAGAGTTCATGCTCTAATGTTTGCCATCCACTTCTCTCTCAAGATTTCTCATCCCTCTCCCAATGTACCATCCCAAGCGGCAAATTAGCTTCGATCAATGGAGGTAAGAAAACTATCTCCCTCCATTCTCAATTTATTTCACTCCTCATAAGGGCTTCTCCCATGCTTCTCAAATCAACAATGATGATAGTGCTAGTTTAGCCCATCCACAGATTTGATGCACTTGTTGAAAAACTTGGGACCTAGAGGGAAACCTGTCTCGGGATGCCAACTAAATCAGAATATTTGAACAGCAGAAAATATAAAATGGATTAAAGATAGAAAACAATACTCAAAAAATGCCCCAAATACAACATTGTAAGTGAATTTATAAATAAGCCGCATATATGATCAAATTGACTCAATAATTATGCTCTGAATAACTTTTGAGTCAAATTCGAGTGCATTCTGTAAGTTCAGCATTGTCTAAAGAAGATATAACTAAGAAGAAAAAGGTTAGCCAGCTTGATTATGTAAAACTAGGCACACGTCACCCAAAAGCCTGGATTATATCAAAATAAGAGCTTTGAAGTCGTGCTTGTGTTCTGTTGAATTTGAAGTAGGAATCATGGTGTTTCGGTTAACTGGATTCTTCTTTGTTAACTAGATAAACAACCTAGAGAGATCTGCAGTATCACCTAAATTCCAAGGCATGAAGTTGGACTCATACTAATTGGCCTGACTGTTTTTTGATAGGTTGAATTACCAACAAGGAATGGCTTTCATTTTCCATAAAAAAATATGAAAAATTTTCACCAGCATCAGTAACAATACAGCAGTAGTAACTTCTGCAAATGGGAAAGTTGGCAGGATTCCAAGTAATAACATGTGGTAGACTATTACACACCTGATTCTTCATTAGCATGAGATCCTGGGGTAACATGGATGTCAACCTGCAAGGTTGATTATAATTTCTAAGCATTAGGGTTCCAAAAGCAAGCAAAGAAAATATCGAAAAAAAAGTAGTGACTTCCTAGTAAGGCAAATTGAATAATTCACACTGATCCAGTATGCTTTGCCCATAATACGAAAGCAATGCGGAGCTTTCAGATGGAAATTTGAGAAAGTATACTCGACAGATGCATAAAAAATGAGCTTTAAATCGTATCTTATCTTAGACTGCAATTCATTTCTAGTTAATTTATGTTGAAGAACCCTATAATGCTGATCAAATTGAAAACAAGTTGTGTTCCCCAATCTTTCAATATCTTCTTTAGGTGTTATTAATTAAAACAAGGCCTGCTTTAATTAGCATCATAAACAGCACATGTTAAAGTATTCACAGTTTCCAATTCTACAGATTTCACAACTTGCCCATGCCAATTTTTTTCCAGTGGCTTTCCTTCAGAAGCTTACTAAGATTACTTTGTATGGCCTCCTTTGATTATTTGTTTCTATCGTTAACCAGCTACAACTTCAATATCTCTCCGTTGCTGCTATTATGCTATAAACCGATACTTCCCTCTATTAAGCTAAAATGTTACAGCAATGGAAAAATCAATTAATGCAGTCTCGCAATTCCTGCTTCAAACTATCCTTCATTACCCATAGATTCTACTTCACACGCTTCTCTCGTTAATTATTATAACTGAACCACCCTCCTTTTTGCAACTGTCATGCCTCACAGTTTTCTTTTATGGCTGCATTTATATGGAACCTAGGAAACCTAATGCTGATTTCTACTGCCTATGCGCTAAGAAAATTATAACCTTCCATCTCTATTAAATCAAAAATGATTTTTTAAAGTTCCTTTTTTTGTGTCCTTCGTGGGCTATATATAAATAGTACCTTGAAGAATAAAAAAATTATAGAATTTAAGGTTTGTAATAATTATAGCTTTCATCAATTCTTGTAAGGGTACCAGTAGTATATGTTTTATTCAAGTAATTTGGAGGAATTGATGACTAGTTTGAGGGATTCGAACATGAGGTTAAAATCATGGAACATTAGTATTGTAATATAATTCCAACTTCGATAGACTTTTGTACCATCAATATGTTTCAGAGGGGCAATCCAATTTAAATATAGTTATCATAGCCATCAAAGCTAGAGTGTTAGTGGGTGCATATTTACTAATTTGGTCCTCGCCCAGTGGAAAATAAATTTTATTTAGCGCACAAGTTAGATGTAAATGGTATACCGGTTAGCATGACAAGAGTTGTCATTACAGATGGTACTAACATCAGCATAATTACACCTTGCTAATGTAGGATGAACCATATGAATCGCTGAATGTTTTATCATCACGAGACTCAGATGATCATGCTATCGTTTTTATTAATCAATGGTTTTGAAAAAGTTCCACCAAAATAATCACTATGCAAATTGGATTTTCTCAAGCTATTGCAAATGATGATTGCCTCTCATTCCTGATATAACTGATGCTAGCTAACATGATCAATCCCTTGGAAAACCAAGATGTACGTCATTACCATAGTGTTAGTTCGCTTCCCCAACTTGGCATTAGATCGAGATTTTATCTAGCTCCAAATAGCCAGACAAGAAGAGGTACACTATATTGACTTCAGTTCTACTATTTTTTGCAGCTTTTATAAAATGTGATGCTCAGAATCACAAGAGTCAAGTGTGGCTACTAGAAGTTCTTTGGGGGCAACAAGCTCAATGTATTATCTCGCAGGTCGATGGCAATTGAGGTAGTGTCATCATGTTCATTGGCAATTTTGTTTTTTGCATTCATCTGCTCAATTGGTATGGGGGTGGGTCGTAAGAGGCCTAAATGCAGTATCTCACAAGCTAATAGCAGCAAAGATGGCATCGCACCTTCCTTCCTTTCTATTTTCATCTTTGCCTTCATGTTAATGAATTCATGCATACTTAAGGCTTTCTATTAATTTTATATAGGTAGTAGAAATGATGTTCAAACTACAATAAAAGAGGCCGCTCTCTCAGCCAAGATGCAGCCAAGCAGCTATCTCTTAGCTAAACAAAGGTACATTCTCTGGCTCAGAGATGTAGGTATTCTTGTCATGCCAAGCCACCTTAAACTTTGACAGATTGGTCGACAAGCCCCACCCCTTGACGGCTTTTGTCCCCTAATGAAGTGTCATTTAAACCCACAAGTCCATTGATGTTGGGCTTACTATTTCTGAGGATTTTGAAGTAGATAACTCGAGTTTGTATGCCTCTGATTCTATCACTAAAGAAAAAGAGGCATCTTTGGCAGACATTTTTTTCCCAGTACCTTTTCTCTGCTTCTTAACTAGGGGATAGATCTACAGTGGAAAATTTAGCACTCATTGAAGCTTTTGAGTCACCTTTATACATTGCTATAGGTTCAAATTATAGCAATTCCAGAAATTTCTCCATTAGACACCCTTTGAGTCCTAATGGCACACCTAGCTCAAGTCTAATTTATTCATTCTTCTTCAAAAAAACACAACTGTTAGCTTTATACAGCACATAAGGAGCTGATTATCAGTCTAAAATTCATAGTAGACACTCCCCAGCTTCAGACCACAACACAGGTTTATATAAAATTACAATTGACATTCTTGCAGAATCCTTTTGATTAGGTTTAAGGTCACGACTCACTAGATCATTCCATGGAAAACACTAATGCCCCTTTGAATTTATTTACTCACTTTGGTTTAGATGATAGGAGGCAGAGTTTTTGGTCCAATGAATCGAGTCATTGAGTGTGACCCAATTCGAAGCTTGGAATTAACCAAGGCGGGTACATATGGTTAGACGGTGGGAGCCAAGTTTTGAATATTCATTTATCATTTAATAAATGAAACATTCATTGATCAAATTAAATTAAAGGAGTATATTGAAAGTTACCTCGTTATTGGTTGTCTACGTCTTCTATAAAAATTTTCATTTCTATCGCTCATATTTTAATCACATAATTAAACTTTAAATGTTAATTTAAAATAATAGTAAACTATATAAAACTAGTGAATACTCGTACTCTTTAATTACAGTGATACAAATGAAAAGAAAATTACTATACAAGTCAGTTAAACTTTTAATAAATCAATATAAATATTTGATGTTATTCAATGTTTATTATATCAATAACATATATAATATTTATATAATTACAACAATCACATAAGTATCATTTAAAAATTGTACCACATAAGGTATTTCAATATCCAAATCTTTTTCCATTTACGTGACGGGTATCTTAGCAGTCCACCAATAGTACCATATAAGAGTGACTTCATCATATTCATTCATGCATAGACAAGCAGTAAATATAAATATATCATTTATGTGTTCATCACACTCAATACAATATAAAATATATAACAAACACCAATGCATGATAGTAAGTAACTACAAACGTTCATAACAATGTAAACAATAAAGAAAAGAATATATAAATCAAAATAAAACTTCTACAAGTGTCTACTATTGCAAAATTGTGGAAAAGAACCAAAATTTTACCATAGATTAAAAGCACGAGTACTCACCTCGATGATAGACAATCTCCTTGCTCTTAACTTATATTATTTCTATATCACCTATAAAGTATAAAATATTTAATTATCACTTTATTGAATTATGTTTTAATTTAATTATCAATTATTATTGTATTAGACTATTTTAAGATTTCAATACTTATACGTATAAGTTTAATTATTGTAAATAACATTAATATAAATATTATTAATTTACACAAAATAATTTTAGAATTAAAACCTAACCTTACTTTAGTGCTAACACCATTTCTTCGATCCAAAAGTGAAATTTTTATAGCCTGAATCAAATACACTTAAGTTTAATCATTTAAATAATACTCATATATAATATATATAAATTCCTTATCAAATAATTTAAATAAACACACGGTCGAAAAATCCCTCTCACGCACGCGGGATCTCCTTACTTCCTCTGCTCGATCATCTTCTCTGCATGTGAAAAATCTGGATCGAGAGTTCTGGCATCTGCTTCCTCTAGATAAATGCATGAACTTAGCTTGTCTCCTCTTCCTCCTCTGCTTTTTGACAGCGCGCACGAGAGATCCCGACTCTCCTCTTTCTTCCTTTAAATGGCCATGGCACGAGCTCTCCTCCACCAAAATCGTGAGCCGCTCCTTCCTCCTTCGTCTGTGTCCCAATAATTCGTTACCGCTGGCTTCTCCCTCTCAATCTCCCTTTGTCTCCCGTCAATTTATAGGGCAAACTTACCTCCCTGGCTTCCCGACCCTCTCACTTCATCTCTCCCCTCTCTAGCTTCCCGACCTTCTTGCTTCATCTCCCCTTTACAGCTGCCTGACTCATCGCTTCCTCTCCTCCCTCTGATCAACGCTTCGATTCCTCTCCCGAAAATAGAAAAGGGACTCACAATTTTCCCAGCTTACGAAAATTTCATCCTCAACATTTAAAAAGAATCGCAAGTCACATCTCATTAAGCATGTCAACAATAGCTATTCATCAAATTTCATGTTGAAAACTAGGGGTCATTCATTAAGATGACAAACAATCATTGTAAAGTAAAGACCAATACAAGGTGGCTCAACTATTCTCCCCTCATCAATAAAATCAAGATAAAAACATAACGCACAAAAAATACGCTAAGAAAACCCCAAACTCATCAGACCTCATCACCATCATTTGCAGTAGGTACTTCAGGCTCACTAGAAATAAGGGAGTATACTTGAGGTTAAACAAGTTGTCTTGGTTGACATTGAGTAGAAGTTGAAGCTATAAACTATCTTTTTCAGCCCATCTATAGTCTTCTATGAAGAAGCTCCTCCTGATTTCCAATCTGCAACACTCTTCTGGCAGAGGGATGGACAATATCTTACTATATGACTAGGCTAACGGTACCAGTAGCAAACGTTAGAGTCTATCAAATATTCACCCTTATGTTGACTTCCGCATTTGGCACAAGTGACTACATTACTCTGAATTGCACCTTTGTT